TTTTCTGCCGAACACCGAGTACGTACCTCCTTTGTACACTGCCATCGAGCATATATTTCTTTAATCTTTTTTTAGTACAATGTCGCGTTCTCTCCCCGTTTTAAAGATTACTCAAACATCGCGTATAATATACACGTTTGCGTGTTTACCGTATGCAAAATGGCTCTATTATCAAGAGTAAACCGTTTCGCAAAACGAAAGAGACATACTTATTGCTAGAAATTAAATATTGTAATTATATAAGCTAAACTCTATAGTAAGCTGTTACATTTTATCAGTAAGTATCGGAGTAATACTTGCTCAACGGGCATTAAGCTTAATGAATATTTGAGGACTCGGATTATGAAACGATAGGCGATATAATAATTAAGCCAGTGCGGCTTGCAGTTTACCTTAATTAATGTTTCGCGATAACGTTTGCGATACAGTTTTCATCGATAATGGAAATAGTAAATTTCCCGGATGGAATATCACTTTTGAAATATCGCAGCCCCCTGTCCCGTCAGTCGACATTTTTTGGCGTAGAGAAAATCGCGACGTGGCACGGCGCGGGAGTTTTCGCGATGGAAATATGGAAATCGAGGGCGCGGCCTCGCGCGCACGATGGCGCCGAGCAAATTGAACAATAATCCGCAGACTCGGCGGCCGCTGGGTCAGCTGTAATCGCGCTTGGGGTAAGTGTCGCGCTAAGTGGAACGTGACCGTAGCGAAATAATGACGCGATCGTTAGAAAAAGTCACAAGTTCTCGGTCCAATCAGGAGAACTGATATGCCCGCGAACTCCCTCGAATGCGAGCGGATCTGAAAAGGTCTCCCTTCTTCCCCTTTCGTAATAATTCAAATGTATTTAATGCTCACCGCGCGATAGTCGGATACTCCTCGACGTTGAACTTTTAAGGCCAAAGTCGGGGCGAGTTAATTTTACCGAGGATTTCAATGGCGTGTGCTCAATGGCCGGCCGATATTATAGCAATCATTATATACTACTGATAAACTTATTTATTATGATATTAAACGATATCTCTCTTATATTTAATTAAATCTTTAAGATAAATATTAATATGCGCGAGAGTATTAAAAGCTTTATCCGGCGAAATGAAAATTTCAGCAAGTTCGATTGGCTGATTAAAATGTATGCGAGACCATCTCGACTTTAAGTACTTTGCAAACGCAAACTCTCTCTCTCTCTCTCTCTCTCTCTCTCTCTCTCTCTTCCAGAAGTATATACATACATATGTTCAGACTGAACCGCTTTCGGAATGTTATTATTCCTCAAGTGAGCGCGCGGCGTATAGATATAGGTCGGCCACTGATCGATGCGCTCGCGATCACAACCTCATAATTGCCGTCGTAAATCTTCCGTCATAATCTGCGCCTTTGTCTCGTAAAGAGGAAAAAAGGGAAGAGAAAATATTCCTGCCACAATTGAGAATTAGACCGTCCACGAAGGGGGATTTCTTCTGGACCTAGAAAGGGGTTCAGAGAGTCTCTCTGAAAAAGATAAAACAATAGAGACGATGAAAATTATATTGGCGTGCACGTCATGAAGCGTGTTGTGCTAAATTGTACGATAGTCCGCCGCGTGGATTGCCGGTAATTGCCTAGTATTGTTACAACTCGAATCACTGGAACGCAATTCCATCGGCCATAAAGTGATGGTTCTACTTCCGAAGTGACACATATATGCGGCCTCTCCGTGAGGCGTGATGTAGGTCAATATCACTCTCGCACCTTCTTTTTACTTTTAATCGGTGAGCAACTTTGCGCAATGCGCTTAATCGTAATGATCTTTTAACGAGAGTCAGGATTTTAACAAGGCTAATCTCATTAAAAACTTATACGTAGTTACTCTCGTGCGCAGAACACGCTCGTGTCGCGACGCTCGTAAATGGCTCACGTGTAGAAAAAGTTCTACATTTCTAATACTTCAAACATTGTCACCATTGTCGTATTGTTTACTAATTAATATCTTAAAATCAATTAAAAGGGAAATTAAGCAAATAGAATATTTAATCAAATTATTTTTAGCAACGACTACCTGGTATATTCGCCTCTTTCACAAGTTAACATTTTATTCATATGCTTTGAGTTGATTGCGGAGAAATGAAAATAAACTCTCTCGGCTTACACTAAACGAGCTTTAAAGATGGCACATTAATCTTAGCATGCGCTTTCTATGAATGTCACATGTGTTTAACTATGAAGATTCAGACACCGTTTTAGTTCGTCAAAGGGATTTTATTTAGTCGCTCGTTGGAACGTGTTGATTAAATTATAAAGCGCTCGCTTGAAGTTTTCACTCGTGAAGTTTTACTGTGCTTACGTAGAACGAATTATAAAGCGTAACCATTCTCTGATTGATTGCCGATTTCGAGAAAAGGTTATTTTGGTCGAAGAGCGGTTAAGAGATTTTATTGATTCTTCTTAGTCCATCGTTGTCTGCTCCCCGTATTTTTCACGCTGATGACTATATCGATCTCACGGAGGGTTTCCAATCCGGCCGTTCATTTTACTCGAGATTATCCTCGAGATCGGGACGCTTAAAGAATGCCACGAATTAATCAAGAGAGAAATTATTGTTTTGAAACACTCGCATTACGCATAATAATATTTCTTCTCCGTTTGCCGACGGCGACGGCGAAAGCCAAACGATTTATTTACTCGAACAGGCCCTCACCATGAAAAAATACGCAAGTACCAATCTTTGTCATTTCTAACACTTGTCCCTTTGTTACGCTTTTTTCGCGCGCCTATCTCTTCATTCGCATTTCTCAGCGGCTATTATGTCGTAACCCGTCGCGATTTATCATTACGGGATACTGCAATAAGTACAGCTTTGATGTTTCTGGCATTAAATTGCGTTAAACTAGTTTGTCTCCGCTCGAGTTATTTTAGATTTACATCCTCCGTAAAATGTCATGCCGCGCATTACCGCAACAATCGGTATCGCCGCAACTTTGGTGTTTCCTAATTAAATATATTAGATCGTTCAATCTTGTCGCTGCAGCGCTGCTCGGGCAAACGGCAGAAAGCTCGTTGGTGAATGAGCATCATTATAATACGTACCGAGGAAGGCAGAATTTAATGCAGTTTGACTTTTCACAAAAGACAGCAAACCGCTTATCTCTCTATTCTCGTAGGCATCCCGTTAATTAACGAAGCGTTTGCAGTCATCTTTATGAATATTGGCTAAGTTTTGCTGAGATTAATATCGTCATTATTGCACTGCTCATGCCGCGACGTAAATTATTTTTCATGCATAGCAATGCATACTTAATAATCTTTGAAATAAATCCTTCACATATTCTCAATGGTCAAATGTTTAAAATGTAGAAAATTGACTTTTTTAATTATCTAGGTATTAACGTTGTTAATATTAGACACGTATTAGCAGCATGAAAGAGTATTTAATAACTGAAAAGATATGATGAAAGTATATGTCAGAAATAATTGTTTTATTGTAACGCAATTTAATGTAAAAAAGTCTGCGGGTCAAAAAATGAATTAATTAAAGCCTGCGAGTTAAAAATAGATATTTACATATTTTTCGACAATGAAAATAGCAAATATTTGTACAACATGATTACATCCAGTCGAAATAAATGTCAATGTTGAATATTAATTCGCTCGTAACCCGACGTTTTTCGCGTCGTTTAACGGGTGACATTACTTTATTCTGACAATAACAACATTCACTGTTTACCATCTACCGTTCAAACTTCGTTTTCAACGACCCAAAGTGACAGTAACTTGTCTTGAGGCCATTACGCGTTCACGCCCGCGTGAAATTCATCTTCCAGGGCAAGTGCTTTAATTAAATGTCAATCCGATGTTTTTCGCATCATTTGACATCGGTCAACATCGCTTTGCGCGTCTCGGGCTTTAATTGAGGAAGCGTTTCAAATCAAGCGCGTGTAGCTTTTACATTTTTGAAAAAGCATATGGCTTTTTTTTTATATATCGTATGCATGTCACGCCGCATTCCCACACTCGCGGTAAACGTTACTTTTGATTTTTTTTTTCTTTCATGCGAGAAACACCAAATCTCGAAACGAATTACCAATGGTCTGCCCGTGACAGCGCATGCAGCATCACGGTACTTACACGAACAAATATTTTTATATAACGTGCAAACTGTGCAGGGGCACACACATACACACCCACGCAAATAAAACGAAGTCGTGCGAGTTGGATGATAAAGAATCGGTTTATCAGAGGCTATATGTATTGCAATTGCAATCGCGATAACTTTGAATTTCGTCTGCACTATTTATTTTAATCACTGTAAGATTAGCACTTTCTAGTGTTACTCTCTTAATTATAAACAAAAATATAGATGCACGAAAAAACTGCTCCTGAAAAAATGATCCTTAACGATTTTAAAGACAGAGAGCTAAGGTTTCTTTTCTTCCCCTCTCAATAAATACCGATCGAACGTGCGCACTTTCAAAGACATGGTCAGACGAAAATGCAATTAGATTAAGCTCGGACGCTGCGCATTTAACGAAATCATACGTTAGAGATGAAATTCGTTTATCGAATCATTGCCATTTGGTACATTGCCATTCCACATTGTTCGAAGCATCAACAGCAATACATGACATATTATACGTACTTTATGAACACGAGAAATTTGTGCATTATGTAAGCTTGTGCAACGTGCAGCCGTGTCGTGAAGGAAGAGTGACACTAGAAAAATATGTAATCGAGAGAGCCACGAAGTCACGAAAAACTCTCACTGTCTAGCAACCATCATTACAGTCTCCTAATTTGAAAGTTTCAATGTATGTACGAATTGTAATTGCAAATTTGTGACTGTTGGCTTTTCTACGATCTCACATACTTTTCTCGGTGTTGTCTGTGTATACCAGTCGATGTTCAAGCTTTCGTAAGCACCGCATTACTGTTTAACTGTTTGTTAGTGTTATCACACGAGCTGGCTAAGGAACATTAACTGATTGTCGTTATTGTGATTGTAACTGAATGTTTCTTGCTTGCAGCACCAGAGCGCCGCCCAGGCATTGGTGAGTCGCATGTCTCTTTCGTTCCTTTCTTCTGTCTCTGATTCCTTAGACTAATGGCAGAGAACGAGACGTAACTGCCGTAGTCGTGAACGCAAGGTATGTAAGGCAGAGAAAAATGTATATATGTAACCGAACAATAACCGCAGACTCTGTAGACCCTTATACGTTTACGTTTTTCTCTGCCTTACTCTATATCCCATACGACTATGATAGATGTAAACGCTAACGTTTTGTTCTTTGCTATCAGCCTTACATGCATATCTTTGTGTATATCTTTCTATCGCTATTCCGTTTCAAATTGCTGAAATGGCCAATAACCTTTCTCTTGGTATGTCAAAATTGCGTTTTGTAGATAGGTATATTAATTTTTGTTATATAAATATAACAAATGTGTTAATTATTATTGATTAAGCCACGAGAAAGGGAGGATGAAATTAACATTAATGATATTCCCTTTATTATAAATTATAATCAGAGCTGCATTATGATGTAAATGTGTAGAAAGATGTGTAGAAAGATGTGTTACACCATCAACTTATTTGTGAAACGTGTCCTCTGTACATATATATATAGTTCTGTGTATAATATGATTTTTTTATTCCACACGTTACAACAGAATATATATATAATTTAATTTAATTTATACAAGTAACTTAAAATTTAAACAAAATATTACACAAATATATATAATTGAATGATATAATGGTATAATCATTAAAATAGATTTATTCATATACATAGAAAGTATAGAAACATAGTATTATTCTCTATCGTAAAAAAAAGACGATATTACATTATTTATTTTTTACAATTAATATTACATTGCAAAAAGAATAATGTTCTCAGATGAAATAAGGTAAGCTGGATCAAGAAACCGGGAAGTTAGAAACTGAACCTTTAAACTTTGTGAAAGCGCAACGATTTTTACGCGATGCTCGTATACCAACTTTTAACAAATTCTATCAAGATCGAGCTCTCTAAACTTGTTAGCTTCTCTCTCTCTCTCTCTCTCTCTCTCTCTCTCTCTCTCTCTCTCTCTCTCTCTCTCTCTCTCTCTCCTCCCCCCCCCTCTCTCTCTCTCTCTTTCCGAAAACATCCTAAACATCTGAAATCTAATTTGTATTAATAACTTCCGCGATCCCATGGTTTATTTTATAAAACATGCAATAACTTTTATTATAGGTATTCTATCGCCAAGTTTTAAATTTCCTGTTTAGAACGCAATATTACTTACACTTAATTACTTAAACCAAGACAAAGGCATTCAACGTTGCCTTTCTTTCTGTCCTTGCGACTAAATTCTCGACAGACACGACGAACAAGAGTAAATAAACTTGATTGTAAAATTCATGAAGTTTAATTGAGAGACGAAGCTAATGCATAATTACATTTATACGTACGATCATGTGCCTGCGCTTAATCAATACGGTGTTCAACTTACTGAATTACACTGAGCCGGAGATCGCGGTACTGCACAAAAATAACTCATCACTGTATTTCAATGAACAATCAGCGAGATTGTTTCGCGTGGTCGATGAAAGCTCGCGCCGGTCGGTCCGATACGAGGTGGAGGCGGAACGACGGTCGGATGCACGTGAATGTAAATCTATCTGCAGCTTCGATGACCTCGACTCGCTTTGATAAATCTTCGGCGAAATCGGTGCCGATTTTCCGAAGCGCGTCTCCGAATTCGTCGAGGAATTGCAGCGGCCGGGCCGGCGGGTGATGCTTATTCTTGCGTGCGCGACGTCAGATGATTCGTTGCACACCACAGGATGCAACAGCTCCTCGTTGCTCGCTGTAGTACGAAATAATTTACTCCTGATGGACGGCGCGGAAAATCCAATCGCTCGGATAATTGAATTGTCGGTCCGATCGGAGGGAATCTCTTGCAGCCTTTCGCAAGATCGAGCTTCACTCTTTTTTTTTTGCTGGTGCGCGCATCATCGTCCGAACGCGCGGCTCCGGCCAGCCGTTCCTTAAAACAAGACTTCCGCAGAAGAATTTCCGCCTGACGAATTTTAATTTACACGACAGACGTCGCCGGAGATACGAGATTGTTTTACCTTGAACTCTTTTCCTCCTTCAAATCTCACTAGGCCGTGCTCGAGTTTTCAAAATGAGATCACACGTTATTTATGGAAGCTCGTTTAATGATTAAACATGAGTTCATCCAGTCACTTTAGATTGAGAGATTGCATTGGAAGTTGTTGGAGAATAATAACCGCGTCCGGTTATGCGACTTCGAATCGTTACGCGCAACAATTTGAAAGAAACTTCGCTATGTTTCACACTGATAAAAGCAATCGCATTCGCTGAACCTAAATCTCAATTAAATACAAAAGCGTCGCGTGAAATAACGTGACAACTGCAAAGTGATGCGAAAGTTTGCGATATTAAAAGAAAATTGAGCAATAACGCGAAACGCGCAGGATATAATTTGTCGAAGATTTCGTCATTTATTGTTCCGTTATCTGGAATCCCGTTCGAGAAAGCGCGTGCGAAACGATTTTGTACGGAAACACGAACTGGGTCGGAAGTATTGTAAAAGTTGTGTAATTGCGACCCTATCGACTCGGCTGGGATAACCGATTCGAAATGAGAGACTTCGGCCGGACATTTCTCCAGCTAGTTTGGCGCTGCTAGAGCAGCCATAGAGTCGCCGTAAACTTCTTCCAATCTGAGGCTTTCGAGTGGCCTCTTTCCAGTCCGCAATAGCGGATCCCCTGGTTACACGTCGGTGTGACATGTATCACCATTAATTTTGCACGGCCGTGATCGAACGTTTTGCCGTAGTTGAACGTTTTTGGAAAAAACACATCGCAATAGATCCCGCACTCTTAGAACATCGTGCGTTATGTGTGCAGCATGATATCCTGAATGTACTCCTCTCTGTTTTTTTCTTTTTGTATCTTTTAATCAAAGTAGAGACGCATTTTATGACATACAATTGGCATGTTTCAAAGCTCATCAATTTTTGAGAAGACACACATGAAGTCGAAACGAAATTCATTGTTGTTCCTTTTCCACGGTGAGTCTCTCGCTATACATTGTGTTTACTTTGCGCCATGAGAAACTGTCATCGCAATACCAGCGTATTTTCTCAAAATGTCAGCTAAAATATTGAGGTGATTTGGTAATACAAATAATATCGTATAATTTTATTTGCTATTTGTCTTCAAGGAGAAAAGAAAATCGTAACATATTTCACAAGTTTGTTTCAATATATGTAACACATATTGTAAAATAATTATCGTAGATATTTTTGCAGTTTGTTTATTAATAATTAATAGCTGTACAGTTTATTAAAAGGTTTTCATATTACGACTTCATATTAATAATTTTCATATTAATAGTTTTCATATTAATAATTAATAGTTGCACAGTTTATTAGAAGGTTTTCATATTATGACTTTCACAAAGAAAAAAAATAAAAAGAATCGTAACATTCTCATTTTAGAGTTTGTACTAATATAATACATTAAAATTAGTTTTTAAATATTTAAAAAAATCGCGTTAATTTTATTTTATAAATTTTAAACATGTTGTATTGTGTGCGTGTGTGCATCCTCCAATTCCCAATAGACATTTTAATTTATAACAATTTATAATTTATACAATATCTACACGTGCGCAAACAAGTAAAAAAGAAGAACAAAATCAATTGGACAGAGAAAAATTAATGTTAAAAATTACGAAAATAAGAGAAGAATGATTGGCATTTGCATATTGGCTGAGAACTTGTTCCAAAATCAATATTTGATATTTCTTGTAAATATTACGTATAATTTAATGGAAAATTTTATATCATTAGAAATGTATTGAACTCGTTACCACATTGTATGTATATCACTCACTAACAATAAGTGCAATATTTTCCTTTTCATTTTTCACTGATTTTTCCATTCAAAAATATTAAATGGCAGCGTGAGCTGAAAACGTCGCGTGGATTACGCGAATATCGTAATTTATTCGATCACAAAGCAACAACAATAATACATTCACTACTCTAAATGTCGAATTTAATGCCCTCAGCCCATTTAATTAAAATTTAAAAGACCTTTCTATGCATTTTGATTGCACATGCAAATTACGTTACCGCGCGCGAACACGCCGCTGTCAATATATTTTGCCTGCGTATATTATTATTTCAAAACTATGCCGTCATACGCACACTTTCTTGCAGGCTCGCTTATGTATCAATGATTTATTTATATTATTCCAAATTAAGTCGCTAACAGTAATCTATCGCGTATAGTAATTATATTTACTTTTCCAGTACTCGTCCGAATACTGTTATACGTACATGTATATATCCTTATTGGACAAATATAACGAGAACAAAGATTGCTGATTCGCGAAAAACGTTCTTGATCAAATAAAAGGTAGCTCGTTCGCTCGTTCACATTGAGCATGCAAATGAATACTTCAGCTTTGCCGTCTAAGCTAACTTAAAATTAAAGGGCTAACGTAGAACTTAATATGCAAGCAGTCTCTTTATTTAGTCATGTACAGTTTTATTAATCATTTATCTTCTGACACGCAGATTTCTCTCTCTCTCTCTCTCTCTCTCCCTCTCATTCTCTTTCTTTCTCTTGCTTTGTTGAACATTTTTGTTTTAGCTTATTCTTCTACAATTACCTTTTATTTTAATTATGTTAAACACACATTAAGGTTAATAATAAAACTCGATTCAACGACTCTTACGCTTGTATATTTGAACTATCCGCAACAGCAGAAATAGAATTTATTGCGACATTTATAACTTCGCTTTTAGAGGTATTGTCGCCAATGACGTTCTAGATTTAAACGACGACGCTTGAAGTATATTATAGTATGACGCAGAATGGAATTTTAAATTACAATTCTGTGATATAAGATATTGACTATGTTATGCACGTGTGATGTAGTGACACTTACGTATTTTTGTCGCTTATTGGTGTCTGTAAAGTATATACAATATGAAAATATTTTCATATTGTATATTCAACTTTGAAGCT